GTTTGAGATGATAGGAACATCAGTAAGCCAGTACACCTCTCTAGGCCAAGGCGCTCAACGAGATGTTTGTTGTGGGGGAATCAGTGATCCTTTCCAACTCTCAAGGTGATCCAGATTTCAGTTGCAGGTTCTTCGTTGACTGTAAAAGCTTCTTCATGATTTTAATGTTCATTCACAGCATAATTCCCAGAACACTGTTTGCTGAGGTCAAGCACTGGTCCTTCTTCTCGGGATAGAATGTTGTTTCTCTGTCTCGGTAAAGAGTAATTTGAACATTTCGTCGTTGTTGAAAGAATCCGCTTGATGTTTGCTCCAATCATTTGAACCCAGAGGAACCTTTCCGACTCAACGACTCGTTATCTTGTTGTCCAACCTGTTCCTTCTCTCTTCGCATACTCTCTTTGGTGCTCTTTAGGAAACAACGTCCCAGGAGACCCCGGTTAACAGTTATACTTTGTTACAGGAGAAAAAAGAAAGATTTACATTCCTAGAGCTTTCAGTTGACACTAAAAATTTGCTTTTACGACGAAAATTGCTGTAGGAGAAGAAAGACTTTGGTGCGTATTTGGAGAACTCGACAACAATGTTTTTTTTTGGGGGGGGCGGTTGGGGGAGGGAGGGGGAGACGGTGTTTTGAGTCACCTTCGAGATTGTTTTTATTCGGTCAACATCATCAGGACCACGTCAGAAAATCGGTCTTTCCCGAGCATAATAATTGACTCCGTGGTGTTGGGTTCCTATAAGATGATGTAGTGTTTCTGAGAATTAACAAAAATTGAATTTATGCAAAGAAATTATAGCTAGTTTGTTATTGATCTATTTTTTTTTACAAACACATTGACGCTCTTCAGTAACATACTTGCCCTCGGGATATTTCATTACATATTATTCAAGGGCATGACCGAGGAGTTTGTTACACATTCAACAGTTGGAAACGTTAGATGGTAGTTCACTGTCCAGTAACTATATCTCAGTAAGAGCCAGGCCACCAGAGCATCACAGAGTCTGGTCAGTAAGTTACATGTGTCATAATTGATTGGCTCTGTTGTCAAGCCATCATCATATCACTCGGTACAATTCTCTGATATTTGAGTTTCTAGTAAATCTTGATGAACAATATGTACCCAGGATATTAGTGATAGTTTTAAGGGAATAATCTTCTCAGCACCACTCTCGGGTAAAGCATTAGCTGAATATGGTCAAGGAACCTCTCCTTGATCGTGAGCTTGGGGTCATGTGTGATCCACTGTATACTGTTTCCTCAGCACGGAGTAGTTTACCATTATGCTTCTGTATTGATCACATCAACTGCATTTGCATGTTCAGGGTTGCGACTATTGAGGGATGAATTGGTAGATTGAGAGTCAAACACTTGCAGACGCACCCAGAGACGGAGGAAGGGTGGGGGGGGTAGGCGACAGCTGTTCTGATGACCCAGTTATTAATGCTCAGCGGGGTCCCTTGGTACACTCTGTAGCTCCCCTGTAGATAGCTGTGACAGAAACTGCTCTTGTAGTTACCCTCTGCAAGGAACCATCAGCTTATTATCACAAGGTCCTCATTGCCTGTACAGTGTACATCCTTCACCCTGTATTAGGAAGTCCACAGCAAGATACCTGAAGTTCAAAAGACGTGTTCCCAAGACTCTTCCAGTATATTCAGAACCTTGTATGTTGACGTCCCTCCAGGATGGGTCTGGATCACGGTCGTATGAAAAAGAAAGAGAGAGAGAGAGAGAGAGAGAGAGTCATATACGTGATGTTTCTCTTATGTTCCAGGGAGTCAAGAACATCATTACTGACCCAGCCATTAACAAATAGGACATTGTGACGTTCTTATATATTTTACTGTTTAAAGTATCGGGTTGTTTCTTAATGGCGTTATATGATGTACAGATAATTGACACCCGAGTCTGTGTGTGAGGGGAATAGTGAGGACGTCTCGGTAGCAGGTACTGTCATGTACTGCCCCTCAAGTGAGTGTGGTGATGGAGAGATACGTCACACTTCACCCCTCCCCTTCCACCCCTCCCACCCTCCCCCCACCCCAGCACTGTGCGCGAGAGAGAAAGAAACACACTCACATTTTCTCAACCACAGTGTGAGAGCAGAAATTTAGTTCACTCTCTCACTCACCTTTATCGTAAGAGTTGAATAAAGACAAAAGAAAAAGCCGTAGATGTGTTAACTTTTGGGGTGTAAATATTGACTTTTTTTTAACTCGGTCCCCGATACACTCTGGCCTATCACCCTGCTCAGAGCCCCCACCCATCCTACACCCACCCATCCTACATCCACCCATCCTTTACCCACCCATCCTTTACCCACACATCCTTCACCCACCCATCCTTCACCCACCCATCCTTCACCCACCCATCCATCCTACATCCACCCATCCTATACCCACCCATCCACCCACCCATCCCTATACCCACCCATCCCTATACCCACCCATCCCATACCCACCCATCCTTACCCACCCATCCTTTACCCATCCATCCCATTCACCCATCCTTACCCACCCATCCTTACCCATCCCATACCCACCATCCTATACCCACCACCCACCCCCATCCCTTACCCACCCATCCTTCACCCACCCATCCTTCACCACCCATCCTTCACCCACCATCCTTCACCCACCCACACCCACCCATCCTTCACCCACCCATCCCTCACCCACCCATCCTTCACCCACCCATCCTTCACCCACCATCCTTCACCCACCCATCCTTCACCCACACATCCTTCCCCATCCCCTGCCAACTAACCCTCCCACTACCACCTAACCTCTTCTCCACACGATCTCAATCCTCTAAGTCCCACTTCCTCCTCCTCCTCTTCCTACCCCCAAACATCACTCCCTCGCCTCCTTCCCTTCTATCCAATTGCACCACCTCTAACCTCCTCCCTCTCTCCAACTTCCACTCTCCCTCCTCCCTCCCCCCCCGGCTACGCCCATACGCCCACTACAAACACCAAGGGGGAATTCCGGGCGAGGGGGCAGGATGGCGACCTTGAAATTACAAAAGACACAAAAACAAAACAAAAGAGAACAGGGGTGAGTCAGTCTCCATGGGTCTGTGTTATTGTGTTGGTAGTCCTTCCCTCCCCTGTGTTGGTAGTCCTTCCCTCCCCTGTGTTGGTAGTCCTTCCCTCCCCTGTGTTGGTAGTCCTTCCCTCCCCTGTGTTGGTAGTCCTTCCCTCCCCTGTGTTGGTAGTCCTTCCCTCCCCTGTGTTGGTAGTCCTTCCCTCCCCTGTGTTGTAGTCCTTTCCCCTGTTGCAGTCCTTCCCTCCTCTGTGTTGGTAGTCCTTCCCTCCCCTGTGTTGGTAGCCCTTCCCTCCTGTGGTAGTCCTTCCTTCCCTGTGTGTTGGTAGTCCTTCCCTCCTCTGTGTGTGTTGGTAGTCCTTCCTCCTCTGTGTTGTAGCAGTCCTCCCTCCCTGTGTTGGTAGTCCTTCCCTCCCCTGTGTTGGTAGTCCTTCCCCTCCCCTGTGTTGGTAGTCCTTCCCTCCTCTGTGTTGGTAGTCCTTCCCTCCCCTGTGTTGGTAGCCCTTCCTCCCCTGTGTTGGTAGTCCTTCCCTCCCCTGTGTTGGGTAGTCTTTCCTCCCCCTGTGTTGGTAGCCCTTCCCCCCTGTGTTGGTAGTCCTTCCCTCCCCTGTGTTGGTAGTCTTTTCCCTCCCCTGTGTTGGTAGTCCTTCCCTCCCTGTGTTGGTAGTCCTTCCCTCCCTGTGTTGGTAGTCCTTCCCTCCCCCCTGTGGTAGCCCTTCCTCCCCTGTGTTGGTAGCCTTTCCTCCCCTGTGTTAGTAGTCCTTCCCTCCCTGTTGGTAGCCCTTCCCTCCCCCTGTGTTGGTAGTCCTTCCCTCCCCTGTGTTGGTAGTCCTTCCCTCCCCTGTGTTGGTTAGGTTAGGTTAGGTTTTGTTAGTCTGGTTTATGTTAGTTATGGTTGGGCTAGATAACATATGGTTCGGTAAGATTAAGTTAGGTTGATTGGGATAGGTTCGTTAAGTTCAATTGAATGTGGTTAGGTTAAGATATATGTTGTGTGTGTGTCTGTCTGACTGTCTGTCTGTCTGTCTGCCTTTAAATATCCCCATTATTACTGTGTAAACGTTTTTTTTTATGTATACCGTAATCGATTTTCACGTCGATGGTTATGACGATTACCACGTAGGTGTTACGGTATCTGAGAAAATGGTATACTGAGTATTCGGTACACAAGGAGGCAGTGTGAGCGTTACTACACTTCACCACCTTCACTCTCCCAACTATATCAGTCTAAAACTACATGTGCCTAGACTGCCTTGGACGCGAACCAGCTACCCAAATAGTGAGAGGCGAGTGTTGTATGAACTCCTTACCTCACCTCACCTCACCTCACCTCCCCACCTGTAGAGATATTTAAACCTGTACCAATTCTGATATACCATAATAAACTCTGGTTCTAATTTCGCTAAGTGGGTTGGATGGCCATGAGCTCTGGTAGGCAGTCCACGTAAATTACTATGCACTCTAGGCTAGGCGTTGCCGTGGGGAGGGGGGGTCTGTGTGTTAAGTTCACCAACGTGTGTGTGTGTGTGTGTGTGTGTGTGTTTTCTCGCAACATCAGTGAAATTACAGGACTAATCATCTGCACTAACAACCACTAATTACATACCTCCACGGAGCCTTATCATTCCCCACAATAACACGCCATCATTAGCAGCACCCATACAATAATAACTATTTCATTAGCAACGTCTCATAAGGTGAATAAATCCTGCGATTGTTCACCAGACCAAGCACCATACTAAGGGTCGGACCATCATACCAACATAGATAATAGTAAAACCTTCTCCCCTTTCCTTCCACGCAACCAAGAATGTTGGCAGAAGACGAGCGAACGTTCATCTTTTACAGTTTGTTTTGGGGAGGCGCCCTACACTCTTGCATTTTTGTTCTTGCTGACGCTGTGTAATTAGACAACGTGGACCTAAGGCAGTAACGAGGTGTCCTCTCCACAGATGAGCCTGCTGACGGAGCTGCGGGAGGTGGTAAGACCAGAGGACCAGGACAAGTTCGACGCTGCCGTGTTCCGCACCGCCGCCAGGGTGCAGGACAAGGTGAGAAGGAGAACGTAGGGCCCCCCACACGGCCAGGTGAGGCCCACATTATATTGATCTCTCACTGACGAGAGACACTCAGTTACTAGGATCTCTCACTGAGATTTGGAGACAGAGAGAGGGAGAGAAACACTTCCAGGATCTCTCATTTAGGTGTGCAGTGAAGGAGACATACACAGTCACTTCTCTCACTAAGTTGTACGGTGAGAGAGAGAGAGACAGTTGGGTCACCCAGTAAGGTATGTGGGGAGAGAGACACTCTTGACAGTCCCTCTCGCCAGGTGGAGAACAGGCACACCTTCTATGTCTTCACACCGAGGTGCTGTCTTAAGAGATGTCCCTGGAAAGGTATCTCACTGGAAGGTAAAGAGATACATCTGGTAGTCTCTCTCATTGAGGTATGGAGAGAGATGCATCAAGTAGGATCTCTCTCGTTGGGAGGAGAGAGGAGACGCATGCTTGGATCTCCCACGGGGGCGTCAAGAGAGAGAGACTTGATAGGGAGATGTTAGAGATGGTAATTTTTTGTACTGATGCATGTTAAGTTGGTCTCTTAGTATAGCGAGGAGTGGGACAGTGTGCCGTAGCAGGATCTCTGTGTTGATCAATGAAACACGAGTGACCTTCTCTCCCTAGGAGTTGATGTGAGATACACGGTGGGAGGAGAGGAGGCACACGGTAGGGCCCGACAGTGGGGGACCGCGAAACATGTTTAGTAAAATCTTTTATCAGGAAGTGAGGAGACCATGTTAAAATCTCTCACTAGAAACGTGGTAGTGTGCCTATGAATTGAGGAGACATGACAGTCTCTCTCGCTGGGAGGTGAAGAGACTCAGGAGTTAGTATTTCATTAAGAAACGAGTAGACGCATGTTAGTCTCTCACTGGTAGATTAGGAAGTTCTCGTGAGAGTCTCATATTGCGAGAATAAGGAAATAGGGTGGTAGAGTCTCTCAATGGGAGGTGAAGAGACATCAGTAGTCTCAGTGGGGGGTGAAGAGGCATTCTGTAGAATCTCTCGCTGGGAAGTGAGAGGGTAGGACTCCCCGCTAGCAGGTACTGAGGTGGTCTCGTGAGCGAGGACATGCACCCATTGCACCATGCTGGGTGCTAGATAAAGTGCAAGATGCACTTTGTTAAAAATGCACTCCGTTCAGGATATCGAAACCATTTGTATTTTAGACGGGATGAGGTAACTCGGTTTAAACTTGACCTAACGGCACCTCACCTAATGTTCCAGGGGTAGATTAAGTTAGGTTAGATTGTTTGATCTGTTTCGTCTGTCTAAGAAATAATTGTTCAGCGATCCTGCCCTTGGTACTTTTTTAACAATGATTATTTTATGGACGAAACACCTGCTTGCTGTAGCAAATGGGAATATTATGTTGCGTTAGTGGACAGGAGTCGCTGGGTGATATGTTAACCCTTCAGTTACCTAGGCTGGGGAGAGGTGGAGTTTATTTACTGAAAGTATAACTCCTGTGGTATAACACAAACAATGTTCATCATCTGCTAATAAGAGTTGGCTGATTTTTCAATCGTTACCCTAAAAATTTCTTGGTCAAGTTTATTCCTAAAGATTTCAAAGAGAACGAAACCTTTTGAAAGATACTAGGGATAACTAAGCTAAAGCGCTATAGTCTGCAGATGACCAGTTTTAATAAAGACGCAGTTGTCACAGATACACATTACAGTACAGTGCAGTGCAGTACAGTACATTATATTAAATAGCACTGGAAGATGTAGAAAGTGTTTTGCTTTAGGTATCGAAAAGGGAGCTCGCTTATGCTATCTATCGGTATATATATATATATATATATATATATATATATATATATATATATATATATATATATATATATATATATATATATATATATATATATATGCAAGTAAACTGCTCTGTATGATCTAGGTATATGCTGATAACTATTTCAACGCTTTCGTAATTATATTCTGTGTAGCCGTACCATCCTCGAAGATGTGAATTCACGAAAGCTCGGGGAACTTGTGTATATATATATATATATATATATATATATATATATATATATATATATATAATCTACACACATATAAAATAAACAACGTCTTTCAAAACTATAATGGCAGCACTATGCAACATATGTCCTATTGCCTACTCCAGAAAACACATTTCAGCTGTGTGGCCAAACGGACCGGGAGGTTGCTATTGCCGCTTTGACTTCCGGCTGCTACCTCTCTCTTAAGTCTAAAGTCTTTTGCGGGGTCAATATTTTGGTCAATCCAGGACCTGATGTTCAAAAATTCGTATGTTGATTTTATCCATAACTGAAGGTAAAATAATTCCTGTAGTTTACGTTAGTGTGACTGAGCCAGATGCTTCCTCACATATTCAGTCAGGGAAAAATCGAACTTACGAATTTTTGAGAATCATGGCCCAAGGTCCCCGTAGCACTATTTTGCCAGCAGGCCTACCTACCTATACTCTCGCACAAAGCCTCTGACAGCCCTAAGAAATAATCAGATGTTGTAGTGAAGGTTAGGCAAGTTAGTGTAGTAGTATAAGGCAGGGAGTCAGACAAGGGTCCTCTTTAAGTGATGGTGATAAATCAAATATAATTCTTTATAAACTTTCAGATGTATATTACCTGTTACTACATACTCTATTTTAAGAGAGACTTGTTAACATGGTAGTGAGAGAGGTTTTTGTTCTTCACTTTTTACATTTCTCTTAAAGAATGGTGTGTTATAGAGTTGGCATCGAGGCTGGCGTCCGACTTACCTTACCTTTTAAGTTAGTGTCACCTGGACTATAGTTAAAGCGATTGGTTTACCTGGTTACACCTGGTTAGTCTTCAGGGGCTACCTGCCGCTACTCCAGGTGTTACAACCTTTAGTTAGGCTTAGCTGTGACTGTGTGGTTTAAGTGAGGTACAACTGAAGTACAACCAAGAAAGTGTGGTTTTAGTGAGACACAAGTGTAGTGTAATTACGAATGAGTGGCCTAAGTGGAATGCAACTGTGACATATGTTAATGAAACTATTAAGAGTGGAAAGTAAACTGCAATGTAGATAGCAGTGTGATTCAAGTGGTATACAACCATTTATGTAAGAAATCAAAACGGCCTGAGTGGAAAATAACTACAGTGTAATTAAGTATGTCTAGTTTAAGTGAAATACAACTAGATTGTGAAGTGTTAAGGCTGGGTGTTGGCAGGACAGACACGCCACCTCCTTCCTGGTCACTACTTGGTGTTGCCAGGTCGTTCAGCAACAAGGCTGTTAATGAAGACTTGCACTAGCTGAATGACTAAAGCCTTTGTTAAATCACAATAGCAGAAATTCCTGAAACTTAATCAACTAATCCGCATTGTAAAGGTAAGTCGAGCCGGTCTCGAAGCTTCGACTCAAAATAACTTTCAGGTATCAGAATTCCTAGAGTATGAACCCGGATACAAGTTGAGGAGATGATTTAATACATCTAACAATCTTGCCATTATAAAGGAACGGATGGTGCTAATAAGGAAATATCAGTTAGTTGTACAAGAGACTAAGTGCTCGTTATCAAGTCAGTATCGGACCCTAGATCTGTATTGTTCTTGGTGCTCCACCGAGTAAGTATTTGTCATAGTATGGAAGAAATTAGGATAATTTAACATTTTAATTTTCATTTGTTATCGTGCAGGGAATGATTTGGTTGAGATATGAGGAGCAGGTGCGGCTGAGACATGTTTACTTTTACCCTGTGTGTGTGTTGGTCAGTCAGCTGCCAGGGAAGATAAGGATGGGAAAGATACTGTTAATCAGATGAAGTGGGAGGAAGGACATTGTGGTGTTGGTCACACCATAGAGCCAGTAGCTGCTTCAAAGACAGTAAAATACGGTAAATTAGGCCAGACTCAGCAACAAAGATGAGAGGTGATGTTAGCCAGGCCAGACAAAGTAGTTTTTTGAAAAACAAAAACAATAAAACAAAAACAGAGAAAGCAAAAGTCATGTTTATCAACCCAATTGTGAGTTACCTGGACAGGTAACAAAAAGGAGAGAGTACAGCTGATGACTGAAACAGACACGAGTAGTGAGGTCCACCTTTCTGTGAGGAGAATATTTGTAATTTTTTGGCTAACAGTGAAGGATGTTTATGGTTGTTGTTGTACCTAAGTCTTAACAGGCAAACACATGGAAAACAAAGTAACCTATTACTTCATGTTGATGTGAGGTGAGGACAACAGAAACACGGTGTGGTAGAGAAGTGTTTGTTTATACTGTATAATGAAACAATGTCTTGAAGATGGTACACGACATTTTCCTTCCTTTTTTTCCTTTTAACTTGTTTGTGAAAGTGTGACATTTATGAGATACCAGAAGCGTCATGAGTTGGGAATGTGATAGCAAACAACACTGCCCTCGACTGCCAATGATATTTTGACATGTTTTGATGTGAGTGTTTCTTGGGACAGACCGATACCATTACGGCCGATTCAATACCCGATGACCCTGCCCACGGTTTTGGATACTGGTGATCAGTTGTCATATCCATAAAGCCGCATTAAGGTGTGGCAGTATGTGCTTGCAAGGCTTCCCCTTTGGAGTTAACAGTTTTAGACTTAGATTCTTGTAAACAGCTTATACTTGTAAGGCTCTTAGCTTTTTTACTCCTCCTAATCGGATTTTGTCATCGGGGGTTTTTATGCTACAACGTAATCGGCCGATTTCAGGGTCCAGGAATTGGTCTGTCCTTGATATTGTTCTTGTATGTAATTTAGTTCCTGAAAATACATGTAACTGTATTGGTTTATGTGTAAATATTAATATGATGATGTGCAGTGGTGTAAGAATCTCACTACTTCATCTCTTGCATTTTTTTTCTTCCCATGAATTCTAGGAATCAACCCCACTGATTTTTTTTTGTTTTCTGCAACTACAGTGTGATAAGCATTATTGTTTCTCATGTCTGCAACTGTTGTCATTCATGATCCATTAGTATATTGATATTTTTTTTATGCTCTAATTCTCATG